TATAGAAAAAAAAACTAAAAAAAATTGAAAGCTGTAAATGTCCATAAACAGCTCAAAAAGAGTCAAAATATTTTCAAAATTGTATGGTGTATAGAAAATGCTAATTTAAACATTCAGTGAAATTTTCATGTATCTACAGTTGTACGTTTTTGAATTGCAACAAAATAAGGAAATCGCTACATGAGTAATCGAGTGAATATCCAATGTTGTAAAAATTTGAATTTCAAACGCTCATAAAAATTTAATTTGACTGTCCGGTAGAGATTTTTTTATTGATAAAGGTAGATAATCTTATAATTAATCTTGTGTTTCATTTTCAAATCTTAGATTTAAAAAGAAAAATTTTTACGAATTCTTAACTCAAAATAATTTGCTAATTTTCGTGATTTTTCCATATTTTGTAAATTTTTGAACTTTAAATGCTTATGAAAAAAAATTGTGACTAAGGATTTTTAATATTTTTCATCTGCCTTTGAAACAATATATTAGGAGCCTTCTATTAAATTTTCAAGCTTTTGCAACGAACAAATAAAATTTTATTGATATTTTTAGAAAAAAAACTAAAAAAAAATGGAAAATGAAAATGTCCCTAAACAGTTCAAAATAAATCAAAATATTTTGAAAATGTTATCGTGTATATAAAATGCAAATATAAACAACCAGTGAAAATTTCATGTATATACGTTCATTTGTTTCAGAGTTACACCAAAAACCAAAATCGATTTTTTGGAAAACCAATTTTGCGTAAAAATTCCCGTTTTTCCTTAATTTTTATGTTGTTTTTCCTGGCGCTTGTGAAAACTACTGGGAAATTTATACTTTTGACCCCCCAAAGTACCAACTAGATTCACTTTCCTATCAGAAAAGCTACTGATGAAGAAAATCCAAGCATTTTTACTGTCCTAAAACGTGATGACAGACACAAAAAAAAATAAAAAAATATAAAAATATAAAAACACACATCATTGTAAAACCAATACATTCATCGCTCCGTTCAGAATCTAAAATGAATGTATGTCAGTGTGTGTGTACATATTACCATGGCAACCATATCTGTATATATAAAACAGTAAGCTGATTGACTGCTATCAATGCACAGCTCAAACCATTTTACGGATCTGGCTGAAATTTGGCATACAGATAGCTATTATAATATAGACGTGCGCTAAGAAAGGATTTGCCAAAATTCGCATTTTAAATAGGTGCTGAAACAGGGACATTGAGATTCACGATAGAAATTGGAAATTTTATTTTTATTTATTTATAGTTGCCATTGGTTACAGTCTACATTAGAAATTAGCATTTATTTATTGGTTGCCATTGGTTATTCGGGCAGATCAGGTACAAGCTTGCATCAAATCGAATTATTGAACATTGCCTACCAGGGTGGCTGAGTGACACTTACCGCAGCAAGTTACACCCAAAAGGAGTTCAACAATCATAATTTTTTTTAGAGTTGAGATTTTTTACGAGCAACCAAATTTGTTATATTAATCCACAGTATTATATCAAAATAAACTTGGTATAACTTTGATACTTTAGAGTTAAATCATACACTTCCGTACAAACGGCACGGGGTCCGAGATCTACCTCAGGTAGATTGCCTACCTGATAATGTACTGCTGCGATTCAGAATTTTTATTCCGGGCAACGGAAAAGATAAGATAAATTTTGAACACCATACACCGAATATTGAATAATGAATTGAACAAAGTTTGAGTCATACTGAGTTGATACATTTAACGGGCGACGAAGTGCACGGGATCAGCTAGTATAAATATATAATATCATTGAATTCAAAATATTTAACTCATTCATTATACTATTCTGTACATCTATAACTGTACAGCAGAGCTATTATCTATTTCCAACTTTTATATTTCTGGATAACACTGTTTATAAACATTTAGTATTTACTAAAACAATTCGATTAAAGACAAAGGTTAACCATTGTTTGGACTTTAGGCCTTGTATATTATTGATGAAATTTTAGATTGTGAGTGAAACGATGAATGTATTGATTTTACAATGAGGTGTGTTTTTTTTTATTTTTTTTTTTGTATCTTATAAGTAGTCGAAATAATGTTTCGATTGTCAACTTCAATATCTTGTTCGATAGGAAAGTGAATATCATTGGCATTTGGGGAGGTCAAAATTTAAAATTCACAGTAATTTTCAAAAGCGCCAAAAAACAAAAGAAAAAGGAAAAAGGAAAAACGGGAATTTTTACGCAAAATCGATTATTCACAAAATTGAATTTGGTTTTTGGTGTAACTTTAAAACAAATTACCGTAGATACATGAAACGTTCACTGGTTGTTTATATTTACATTTTCTATACACGATAACATTTTAAAAATATTTTTATTTATTTTGAACTGTTTAGGGACATTTTCATTTTCCATTTTTTTTAGCTTTTTTTCTAAAAATATCAATAAAATTTTATTTGTTAGTTAAAAAAGCTTGAAAATTTAATAGAAGGCTCCTAGTATAGTGTTTCAAAGGCAGATGAAAAATATTAAAATTCCTAAATCCCAGTTTTTTTTTATAAGCATTTAAAGTTCAAAAATTGACAAAATATGGAAAAATCACGATAATTAGCAAATTATTTTGAGTTAAGAATTCATAAAAATTTTTCTTTTTAAAATGCCTTATAAGATTATCTACCTTTATCAAAAAAAAATGTCTATAAGAAAGTCAAATTAAATTTTTATGAGCATTTGAAATTCAAATTTTTACAACATTGGATATTCACTCGATTTCTCATGTAGCGATTTCTTTATTTTGTTGTAATTCAAAAACGAATAACTGTAGATACATGAAAATTTCACTGAATGTTAATATTAGCATTTCCTATACACCATACAATTTTGAAAATATTTTGACTCTTTTTGAACTGTTTAAGGACATTTTAAGTTTTCAATTTTTTTAATTTTTTTCTCTAAATATCAATAAAGTTTTATCTGTTGGGCCAAATAGTGTAAAAATGTAATACAAAGTTCCTGATATATTGTTACAATATCAGTTGAAAAATATTAAAAATACATAGGCACAATTTTTTTTTATAAGCATTTAAAGATCGAATTTTGACAAAATTTATCAAATTTAAAATTGAATAATTATTTTGTAGGTAAAAATTTATAAAATGTTCAACTTTTATATCTAAGGATTGAAAATTTAAAACAAGATTCCACGTAAGTAGTTAATTCTGTTACCAAAAAAATCTAAAAAATACATAAGCGCAGTTTATTTTTACAGTAATTTTAAGTTCAAATTTGGACGAAATTATATAATAAAAAACCTACAATAACTATTTTAGTTATTTTGTTATGATTGTATAATATTATTCGTGGGTACTTGAAACATCTAAAGTACACTATTATATATCTATGATAGTATCAGGGTTTGTTTTTGATGTATAACGTGTTATAAGTACCTAATGGATATTGTGATATGATTAATTTGGAATTTATCATCGGTACCTATTATAGGTCAATTTTTTGTTTAATACCATAGATAAGTATATAATAATTAATATGCCTTATACCTAGACTGACATACCGTCTCCGCTCTGAATCGTTTTTCTTTTACAATGATATTATATCATTAAACTCAAATTTAATACTATCCATTATACAGTACCCCACTTGTAACCTACTGGCTACTGTACAGCAGAGCACCTTTTTTTAAATAAAGTTAATTGTTGATACCTGTGTGAACAGTTAAAGTCATTCCAATATGCCTTGATGCAAAATACCCAATGCCCCAGAAGAAAGCTGAAAATACGCTACCGATCAGATGTATCGTTATTCGTAATTCTGGTGATTCTTTATCGAAAAACCCTAATTATTTCATTAAACATCAATGTTTTTGTAAAAATATTATACTTTTACTAATTTTGACTGTTATAATTTTTTAACATTATTTAAGTTTTACTTTTTTTAATGACAACATACATTTTAAATTCTGAGCAGAGCAATGAATATATTGATTTTACAATTGTGTGTGTCAATTTTTCAAGTTACCAAAAAAAAGTTTCTTCTGACTAGTATTTCAATGCCACTGTAAAATAGTACTTATTTTTAATCCAATTACTTAGTTTATTGGAATTAAATAATATTATTCGAGGGTATTTGAAACATTTAACGTGTATTATTAAAATTTATAAAAACAATGACATTTTCAAATGCAATTTTTTATTCAACCTACAATTATTATATTATTAAATTATAATATTTAACTCATTCATTATACTATTATAGTGGTTTTTTCAATGACGAGATGCCTTGATGGCTTGATGCAAAGTAGATACATGCTTGAAAGAAATGCAAAGGGTAGACTATACAGACATATCAAACTCAAAGTATTAACTTTGCCAAATATATTGAATGGTTTTCTATGTGGGCTGAATATAAAAATAAATCGAAAAAAAAACATTTTATACACATTTTTATTTGTATTCATTGCTTACAATACTATACAATATTTATTAAATTACAGTTTATCAGAAGATAAAGACAGGAAAATAACATAATGTATACATTATAGTTGTGACACGAAAGGAAAATTTTATTATTATTACTATTTTCAATTTAATGTTTATTCATATCATATCCACAGCCCATAAAACATTACTGATAATGTTACAAAATAATTCGATACTTTTTAAATTTCTTATAAAATATTATACTCATCTAATATCATAAAATATATAAAAACTAAAAGTTGTTTTGCCTCAATTATATAATGAAAATAATGTAGAAAATGGTGTAACTTTAATTGTTAACTATAAGTATAACATAATGATAAAGTGCATTTGATTTATTATAAATATTATATTTTGTTTAAGTGAGCACCTTTTTATATGCAGGTGAATACTGTTCCGAAACAAATCAATAACACTGTTTTATGCATAACATAATCCTTTTATTCTTTCCGTAATATACAATAAACATAATATATAATAACTAAAAAAGAAGCAACTTCAATTTGTGATAAGATTTATATATTGAAGGCTTTTTCACCATTATAGTAAACATTTTTATATTTATCACTCAATGATAATTCTATACCAACTGGATACACATGTGTTACATTCTTTGTTATAGCTTCAATCGTTCTCTTGTCCTCTAACATACTTCTGTAATCTGGCTTAGGTACGATGGATACAACTGGTGGCTTAATACAATACTGCAAAACAATGAAAGTATAATTAACTTATTAACCAACTAAAAAATAATCAAGTAATCTTACATCATTTAAATTTGTTCTATTAAATTCGAACTTCCGTTCATATCTAAATATCAACACCTTCGAATGTAATCTATTTGACTGAGGCTTGGACTCTAAAGATTTCCGTAATAAAGACCGTATAAGGTTAAAAGTTCTGTGTGTGATTTCTTCAAGTAGTTTTTGATGATAAGACACAATCGACCGAAATTTACTGTCACTCGTTTGAACTGTAGATTCAGAAAACTAAATAATATAATAATGATCAATAATTAATGACTTTTAAAGCAGATAAAAATAAATGAATAAAAATCAGTCATTAGGGATCAAAAAAAAATGTTAATTATAAATATCGATATCCAGTTCTATGAGAAAGTCTTTTATTCTGTTATAAGATAATAATTAGTAATAAAAACTTGTTAATCATTCTATACATAGCATTTACCTCAGTGTACGACGAAGTATACATTTTATTTAACCTCTTGGTGAAATTATCATTTGACAGAAAACGCTCAGCCCATCCAGTCAAAAACTCTGGGTTAAATTCTAATAATGTTACAGTGACTAATATTCCTTGCGATTCCAATATTTGAGCTATTTTTAGAGCGATAATCCCACCCCAACATTCTCCAATAATGGATACGTAACCATGATCCGAGATACTTTTAAGTTTCTACGGTTTGGACAAAATATAAATCAGTTAAAAAAATGTAAATATTTTCGTACATCGTAAACATACATTCACTAAAGTTTTGGCTAAATTATCGATTGAAGTAATATCTTCAGGATACTGTGCTTCAAATACAGGATAAAAAAATTGCTTATACAATGATTCGATGGATTTTGGTTTAAATCCAGGTATAACGAACACAGGTGCTACAGACTTCAATTGTGATAACCTCGGACTTCTTGTAGCAACTTCGATAAATCCGGCTTCTTTTGCTATTTTATTATTCAGAAGGTGTAATTCATTAGCCGATTCAGGGAAAAAATTTGAAATCACATCGTTCATTTGGTAAGACCCTGAAAACAATTTAATCATTATATGTTTTTTAAAGTTAAGAAACCTAAATCAACAACATGTTGTAATACAATTAATATTTAAGACTACAATTTACTTCTGAAATATAAAAAGGTTTGTAAGTGGATGTCGCTCTGCTGTACAGTACGTCTCAAGTGGGTTACTGTACAATGGATGGTATTAAATTTCAATTCAATGATATAATATCATTGTATACGAAAAACGTTCAGAATTGAGCGGTGACGGTTTGTTAGTGTGGATATTTTATACTTTATTTTTATTACTATTATTGTTATACGGTAACCCGTAAGTTGAATAAATATTATAAAATTACAACAAAATAAATAAAATAGTTATTCTTGGTTATTTAATATGTAATTTCCTCCAAATTTGAACATAAACTTTGTTTTTATATTTTTGAAATTTTTTGGTTACAGAGTAACATACTTACGTAGAACCTTGTTGTAAGTTTTTAATCTTTTGCTATAAAAGTTTTAGCAAAAAGAACATTTTATACATTCTTCACTACAAAATAATTTTTAAACTTAAAATTTGAGAAATGTTGTCAAAAATTGAACTATTAAATGCTCATAAAAAATATCTTGACTATGTATTATTAATATTTTTTAACTGCTATTTAAGCAATATATCATTAGCCTTGTATTAAATGTTGAAACTTTTTGGCCCAATAAATACAATTTTATTGATATTTATGGAAACAAAAACTAACTAATTTAAATTTGGAAAATTGTACTTAAACAGCTTAAAACAAGTCAAAATATTTTTAAAATGTTATCAAGTATAGGAGTATATAAAATAAATGTATGATATAAATCTAAAGTGTCGACAGTTATTTGTTTGTGAATTACAACAAAATACGAAAAATCGCTAAACGGACATCCAGTGAATATCCGTTGTTGTGAAAATTTGAACTTCAAACGCTCATATAAATTTTATTTGACTTTCTTATAGACATTTTTTGATAAAGGTAGATAACCTTATAAGGAATCTTGTAGTTTATTTTAAAATCTTAGATCTAAAAATTATTATTTTTAGGAATTTCTAACTCAAAATAATTTGCACATTTTCGGGATTTTTACGTTTTTTTTGTCAAAGTTCAAACTTTAAATGCTTATAAATTAATTTTTTAAATATTTTTTATACATCATCTTAACAATATACTAAGAGTATTTATATTTAATTTTCAAGCTTTTTCAACCAACAAATAAAAATGTATTGAAATTCAAAAAAAAAAAAAATTGGAAAATGAAAATGTCCTTAAACAGTTCAAAACAAATCAATATTTTTTTTTGAAAATGTTATTTTCTGCAGAAAATGCTAATATATACAACCAGTGAAATTGTATGTATCTATGCTTATTCGTGTAAGAGTTATACCAAAAAGCAAAATCAATTTTGTCACAAACCAATTTTGTGTAAAAATTTCCGGTTTCCTTTAATTTTTTTTTCTATTCCCCTGCGCTCCTATTAGGAACTTTTACTTTTGACCTCTCAAAATACCAATTACAATCACTTCCCAGTTTCCTATCAGATAACATACTGTTGAAGAAATATTTACTGTTCTAAAAGATGATGCAGACACAAAAAAGACACACATCATAGTAAAATCAATACACTCATCGCTCCACTCACAATCTAAAAAGTAGTGACATAGGTAGTTACCATATACCAGCTATATGGATTATTGCTTTTTTAAAAAATGTTCTGGTTAAATAATAAATATAAAGAAATTATTAATTCTGCGTTTTACATAATGTTTAGTACCTACTATCTCGAATAAAATCATTAGGTAAATTAAAATATTTAGAAATTATTGTATTGCTTGACTTGTTTCTTGTTTTATATTCTAAAGTGTAGAATACTCTGAACTAATTATAGTTATTCAAAATTAATTAAAATGTTTAATCAATAATTACATTTTGATGTTTGGTTGTTTTCCTTAGAGCATATAAACGAATATGACTCTGAAGTATTTGAATTTTGAAGTAGAAAATCTAGAGAAGCCAAAATTGTTTCTGTATTTTTTGATTCTGAAGACATTCCGTCCCATGATATGTTTAATGCATTAAAACCTATAGATTTAAGCTCGGCACATGTATGTTCTGCTTTACTTAATATACATATGAATGGAGTAGCAGCTATTTTATTCTTAAGCTCTTCGAAAGAATATCGTAGATTACTTATTTTTTTATTGTCGAACTAACAAAAAAAAAAAAAAATCAATGCGTAAAACCAAAAAATATAATAACAAGAAAATAAAACAAATATCATACCTGATTCACTATAAATAATGCACCTAACTCTTTAGATGATGTTAAATAATTCAACCAGTTAAGCGACTCCTCTTTAGTTTTTAAGTGTAAATCTGATTCGATTTGTATTGATACGTTCCGGGAGATGAGTTTATCAAATCTATTAATAAAAACACAACAGTAAATAATATCATAAATTTAACGTTAAAATATTAGATATTCATAAAAGTATTAACGAACCTCCTACAAACGGTCGATGACATTAAACATCTTTTGACTATGATCATAATTCTTTTAGCACCTCGTTCGACCAACCATTCAGCGAGGTCTAGCCAATCTCCTCTGTTTCCTTTAAAATTAAATTAAAACACATTTATAATCATATACTTATAATAAATTTAAAGAATCTAATGAGGAGAAAAATATTTACCAACTATTAGGTACATTTTATCAGGATGACATTCATACATATTACATTCAACTTTTTTGCTTAACTTAGAACAATCGTCGTCATTGGTATTATCGTTTATCGACAATACCACTTTTTTATACGTTATCGACGAAGCGTTAATTCTATACGAAAAACAAATCAATAAAAATATTTTTATTAAATTTAAAAAAAATTACCTAATATTTCATCTATCATATAGTGTAATTATTTACCTCATTGAGTCAAACATGTTATTACCAATCGATGAAGTAGTTACAACATGACTACGAAAAGGTTTTATCACGCCTTTGTTCAAACCATCCATGAATGCTTGTTGTACAATTTGTTTAGTTTCAACACTTTCGTTTAACAACGTGTTTGAACCGACGGCGAAAAACGATATGTTTTGCAGGAATATTCGTGTACCTTTGCAATATGATATTTGTCTTTTAAAAAATTATATTCTTCGTAAAGTAAAGCTATCAGTTAAGCATATTGTACAATTACCCAAATATCTTTGTTTTTTCATATCTGATTTTGAAAAATTGAAAAATTTTCCATGTTTGGCAAACGCACGAATAGCAGCATATAATGATTCACCACTCAAAAAGTTCAATATACAATCGATACCCTTGGACTTGGTTATCATTTTTAATTGAACATCAAATTTGTTATTTTTGTTTATAATTATTCTTGACCGCAATAGCTGTAATTTAAATTGTATTCAATGTTGTTGTATATCATCAATATTTTTAATAACTTAATACCTCTGGGAAGATCCCAGATAGCTGTTCTGCTTGTTGGTCTGAGTCTACAATAGCATAAGTCTCACATTTTTTGTCTAAACTTATCGAAATAGCAGCTTGACCAATTGGATGCAATCCCGAGGTTACTAAAACAGAATTATTCTTTTGAAGTGTACTCAAAATATTAAGCACATAATAACTCTGAAACAACAAAAAAATAAATTTTATTTAGTTTTTTTTTAGTCAATTTCAAGTGTAATTACCATGGCGTAAGCTAGTGGGACAGCGGTTGCTTCTTGTAGTGACCACGCCGACGGTACAGGCCATGATAATACTGGGTCATAAATAATTTGAGAAGACATTTCATTGATCGAGGCTATTCCCATTGTTGTTTTATTGTTGATATGCCCCGAGTATTCAAATGGTCCAAAATCATTCTGATTAAAATAAAAATAATATTATATTTTTAATATTTAAGTACGTCATTTTTAATATTCAGTAATTACTTCGGTGTTTTCATCAATAACTAAATCTTTAAAATTCAACCCGAGATGGTTTACTGTCAATTTATTTTTACTGAAACAAAGTAAAATAATAAAATAGTACAAAAATGTATAAACAGTGACTCAAAATCAACAATAAAAATAATTTAATTCAACTTACTTCTTCATAGCGAAATTTTTAAATACTAGATTTTTGTTGCCCTTAATATCGTCTTTAAAATCTTGAAGAACAATTCTTTTGTAATAACCCCAATCACCATTATTATATATATTTATTAATAAATCTTTCGATAGTTGATTTGCATAAAATGATTCGTTGTTATCAAAATCGGGTGCGTTCGAATCCAAAATAAATAAGAATCTATCAAAAATGACCGTTTACATAGAATTATGTACTTTTGTAGTGATACCAAAGTTCTGTGTAGTGGATTTACCTTAATTTATTTGATTTATACTTATGCAAAATATCTTTAACATGAGTGCTGATGCCTTCTAATGGTTCAGACTTTGAAATTATATAAATCTTCCCAGTTGATGAATTATATGTCTTTAATGCTCTCCAAATGCTCAAGTCGTAATTATCATTGGTTGGTTTAATAAATATGTTATTTTCTTCTAACCTTAATATCTAAATAACATTTATGATAATTGCCTTCTGTTTTAATAATTAAGTACGTTTTAATTTACCTTTTTCATTAGTGTTAAACATTTGTTATTGTCGAATTCCTGCTGTGTAATTATTTTCCAGTCTTTGAGTTCTTGAAGTTTTTTTAAGGAACTTACAATAATAAAACTATTTTTTTTATTAGCTAATGCTCTCGTTGTATCTTGCAAATAGTTTACATTCGACACTGTAATAAACCTTGCAGATTCATCAACATCTGATTCTTCCTTAATGTTTTCCCAGTTTATTGTTTTACTCTAGTGGTTACATTTAAGTTTAAAATATTATAATAATTATTAATTAGTGTATCTGTTACTTTATTAAATTATACACTTACATTCATAGATAATTTGTTTTCCACAATTTCTTTGATTTCATTTGTACATGCTTTAGCTACTGGATCGTCGTAATGATAAGGAGTACTAAGTATAATTTTTCCACTTGTTTCGAGATTTAATTTATCAATCTCCATTATTATATGAATAGAATCTTGAACGAATTCGCAGATGTTCTATAAATTAATTGTATAATATAATTGTACCAAATTTATTTTCTGGTACTTTCTATATAGAAAATTTGCTTACAATAATATTATTAATTAAGATAATTAAATAATTTTCTAAAATTTAGTTTTAATTGTTTTCTGTATGATTTCAGACCATTTATAGGTAAGTATGGTTTTTTTTTAATTATTAAATTATCTTTTAGAGATGGAATTTTTATACAAAATTAAGCTGTCAATTTTTGTTTTTTAGAAAACTATAATTTTGTTTTTTAGAATGTTATGCACTTGTACTTTAAGTAGAATTATTAAATTGTAGCCAGATTCAAATTTTTGTGTACGTGTATGGAACATAAGTAATTGGACCCTAAATATATTTTTAGATAAAAACTTAAATTCTTATACTTAGCAATTTTAACTGAAACTGTAATATTTCCTATCGATAAGTTATTCAAAAATGTAAAACTTAAAATGGAAATTTGTATGATAATATATCATATTTTATAATACAATGTTTTGATTTAAAATGGTATTAATTCCATGTATATATTTTATTGTACCATGCATTCATAATTTATCTTAATTTCCACATAATATTATCATTTATATCATGCTATAATCATTATAAGATGATTTTAAAATTTAAAAACTCAAAGGTTGGCAAGTTATCTAATGACGAAAAAACAACCAATATAATATTAAACTCTTAAAGTTTAATGTTATATAGAGAAAATAACTTAGTTTATAGTTAACATAGTAAAAAAAGTTAATTAGTTGTATTTTTAATTTATGATCTGTGTGAATAACTTAATATTTTATTTTTAAAAATTAGACCTATACTCAATTTCATTCTGATTGCAGACTACCTGTAATAGTTTTTAGTATAATTTGACAATTACACGTTTGTTTCAACTATATTATTAAATCAAAGTATACTTATTTATTTATTTATTTGTGTTTGAAATTATTATGGATACAGCGTAAATTAACAAAAACAATATATTATTTACTCATTGACTATAGTTTTAACCACTGTCATAAGTAGATGAGCATATTAATCTTTTAACTTAACATATGGATTATCAAAATTTAATTGGAAAAAGCTAAGCTTGAACAAAATATGATTAGTTAACTAATTATATTATTAATGTAATTAGCTTATTAACCAACTAGTTAAGCATTTTATCTATATCAAAAGGTTACTCATTTATTTCATTGTTAAATATTTACGTACTTTGCATTTTAAGTTGTTGAATTTAGTAAAGGATTTTTCTTGTAATTTCACTACAGCAGAGTTAATTATGGGTAATGATATGGTCCCGTTTTTAACCCCAAATATTTTAACTCCGTCACAAGTTACTTCATTTGATAGTTTGTTGTAATTGACGCTTATATCTGTCAAAAAATATATTGTTATTTCATTATATCTAGAATCTTTGATAAATATTATTAGTATTTTGAATGTACCTTTCTCTGAACGATTTTCAAATAATGCAGCATTTATATACATTTCTCTTATATAAACTGGAATTTCTATGGGACCTGTGCCTAAATGTTCTAAAAATGGGAACTTTAATAAGCCCTCCAAAAAATGTATCCAATCATTTTCCCATTTTACGGAACCTTGGATGTTATTTTTATACATTTTATAATTCGTAATGTTTTTGAATCCTAAATTGAATCCATTATTTTTTAAAATAGAATATATCTCGTTTTCTGATATATTGGCATGGAAGTCGTCAGTAGTTTTGTCTAAGTGTATTGATTTTTCTTCAGTTGAACTTAAGTCTATATGATTTAAAAATCGTATTTCTCCTGATAAAATAACCTCATTGTCGACATCGCACTCAAAAAGACCAGATCCCAATTGAATCGTTATAGAATAATCAGAGGAATCTGAAAAAAAATTTGATTTTCAATGAATTTTTTTATAATTTATAAAATAAATAAAGATATCTACCAGTTGGATGAATTTTAACATTATTTTTGAACCGAAGATTTTTAAATTGAATCGGTTTTTCATACAAACTTTGAGAGTTTTTTTCAATAAATGTCTTCCAAACATTAAACTAAAAATTATAATATATAATATTATACAAATCAAAATAACATTTTAGGATTTTTTCTTACTAATATAAATGAAAATGGTATTATATGCTCATCATGAAATTTGTACTCAGCTAAATGTATATCATCATTAACCACTAATGAAGATATTTGTTCACCAGATTTTACCTAAAACAAATTGGTATGCAAATTATCAATTTAACACATTTTAGTTCAACTATAGTTAATTTCTCTACAGTAAATTTCTCAGTTAATTTATCAGACTGTAAGTTGTAGAAAAAATAAGTGATGTGATTTCCGTTATTATCTTCAGTTATTTAGCACACAAAATCCACAATTTCCACGGATGAATATTTCGTGATTTAGATATAGTAAATAAAATGCAATAACACCTTAATAAAAGATTTCAATTTTTTTTCCGAAAAAAAACATTAAGTTGAATAAACTCAGATGGACTATTTGCTAAAATTATATTTTATATTTTAGAGCAATGTAGAATTTCAAAACCTGGTTAATTATTCTTGTTCTTACTTTACAGGAACTCCATTCCAAAAGAGAATACACTAGTTCTGCTCAATTTTTTCCTTTTCCACTGACCCTTCATATTCCGTTATGTGGGAGATATGGGCCACCGTTAAGAAGACGGTCGCAACTTGGTGTATTCTCTTTTAGAAAAAAGAATAGATTTTCAAAGAACCATATAAAACATCATTCTTTCTAAATTAAATATAAATCAAACATTTTTAAAAAAGATGGTAGGTAAGTGGATGTCGTTATGCTGTACAGTAGGTAACAAGTGAGTCATCGTAATAGATGTAGTTACATTTTTATTCTATTTAAAACCATTGAATGCGAATAATGATTTTGAGTGAACACGGTATGTCAGAATAGAATATTACTAAGTAGTTAGTAGTTACATTTTATGATATTATTATTATTGAGATTAAAGTACTTAATTATTTTCAGTATTGACATTAGTATCTACTACAGTAGTATAAATTAATTTTTGCCAAAACAATACATTTAAAAACGTCATTGTGTGAATAAAATATAATAATAATTATACTCTATAAGTTTTATATTATATCCATGAATAATATTTTTAAATAGGTTATTACAAAATAACTAAAATTGTTATTCTTGATTTTAATATGTAATATGGTCTAAATTTGAATTTAAAATGCTTGTAAAAAATATTTGAGTTTATATATTTTTAAAATTTTTTTTATTACAGTATGAGCTATTTATTTTTTATTTTTTTTAAACTTTCTATCCTAGATTTGTAAAATTGAACATTTTAAAATTTTTTTTTTTATAATAATTGATAATTATAGAGATTTTGACAAATTTAGTTAAAATTTGAACTTTTAATTCTTAAATAATTTTTTATTTTTTCCTTCTGCTATTGTGAAATATATCAGGAACATTGTATTTAACTTTCAAGATTTTTAACCCAACGAAAGAAATTGTATTGACATTCATAGAAAAAAAAAAAAGTTGAAAAATGGAAATGTTCGTAATCAGCCAAAAACGATTTAAAATATTTTATCAAGTATAGAAAATTGATAAAATAAAAATATCGTGTAAATTTCAAATATTTACAGTTATTGGTTTTTGAATTACAACAAAATTTAAAAATCTCTGAGAAATCTAGTGAATATCCTATGTCATACAAACTTTAACTTCAAACGCACATATAAATGTAATTTGACTTTTCTATAGACATTTTATTTTTTGATAAAGGCAGACAAACTTATAAGGAATTTTGGATTCAATTTTCAAATCTTAAATTTATAAAGATAAATTTCTATGAATTTCTAACTCAAAATAATTTGGATATTTTGTCAAAATTTGAACTTGAAATGTTGATTATAACAATTTATTAGGAGCCTTGTATTATATTTTCAAACTTTTTGACCCAACGAATACAGTTTTAATGACATTTATAGAAAATAAAGCTAAAAAAATTAGAAACTGAAAATACACAGTTACAGCTCAAAACAAGTAAAACAATTTTAAAATTGTATAGTGTATAGAAAATGCTATTATTAACATTCAGCAAACTACAGTGAATTTATTAATTTTGACCACCAAAAGTACCAACTAGATTTACTTTCCTGTCAGAAAATATGCACACAAAAAAAAAATAAATAAAAAAACATATCATTGTAAAATCAATACATCATCAGAATCTAAAATGTAATTTAATAATATAGGTAAAATTTAAATAAAATGCTAAATTAGTTTATGTTGGTTAGCCAACCAAAGTTTTACTTACAAATTCAAGGAATCCGTCTGACCATTTTTCAGTATGGTCCCAAAACGGTAAACCGTAAATTGATGGTGTTCCACGACTTACAGGATATTTTAGTGTTGGATACAGATCTTTTATTTTGGGATTTAATCCACTGGTATACATTCTGAAATAAATAAGCACAAATGTAAAGTAATAATTTCTATAGAATAACTTAAAGTTTAGAAAATATAGACTATTTATTTTATGTATACATATTATGGTTAACAATAACTCACTTTCCTATAGAAGAAAGTAGGAATCGAACCGAATCTCCATACATTCTTTTCGTCAATGGAATATTGGTTACCGTTTCAGGTAATGCTTTTACTATAATTGCTTGTAGAAGACCATGAGGAGCAATTTCAATTGTAATCGCGTCTTTTGGTATGTAATTTAGAACGTCTTCGAATAACACACTACTCAAAAGATTGTTTGTATGATATTCTGGAGAAGAATATTTTGAGAGGTCTGACTCCCATTCAGTTTCCGGTAACGAACTACTAACCCATTTAGACGACCTTTTCTTTGGTACTTTGATCACCTATAAAAAAAAATATATGTACAAAGTTGGAATGAAAATAATACAATTAATTTAATTGTTGAACAAACATCTTTTAAATATTTAAGTAGAGTCGGGCCAGCCGATTGAATATATCTACTGTGAAACGCTATGCCAGCAACGTTGACGGATTTTGCGAAGACACCTTCGGATTTTAGTTTTGAGACAAACTCGTTGATGCTTTCAACTGGACCCGATATTGTGCAGCTAGTGGCACTATTACGACAAGCGACGTCGATGTCATGTGGAAGTTTGTTTTTGATTTGTTCATATCCAAGTCCTAAACAAAAAGTTCAAATAAAAAATAAACTTAAAATACTTTAGTGAGTGGTATATTGTGAATATTACCAATGGCGGCCATCATGCCAGGAATAACGTCTGTTTCTAGAGAAGCTTGACCTCGGGCGTAAGCAGCTAATATCATTTCTTCAGCCGTAAAACAACCATCTGCGTAGGCACATCCCAATTCGCCAACTGAGTGGCCTATGATCCCATCGGGTGTAATGTCTAATGCTCTTAACACTTCTACTAATCCAATCTAAAAAATATGAATATTTATACTCCTTTTCCAAATGTATTTTGATCGAAATAGATCCAAACCTGAACCGCAGCGATTCCGACAAACGAATTGAGAATGTTGTCAAAAAGTTTTGAATCTTGACTGGTCAAAATATTCTTGATATCAATTCCTCTTGGTCTTAGTATAATATCACATTTTTCAATAGCATTCGCAAAAACTGGAATTTTCATAAGATCTGTACCCATTCCATGCCATTGTGATCCCATACCAGAGAATATAAACCATACCGGACGTTTTGAACTAACATTCTAAAGATAACATTTTTCATTAAAACGAAAAATATACGCAGATGAGTGTAATAGATGGTGTTTAATTTGAAGTCAATGATATAAATACGTTATATACAAAACCCACTAAAAAATGAACTCGTTCGAGTTCACGTTCTTTTAAAAAACGAACTAGTTCATTGGGTCCTTCATTTAATTTTTTTTTATGAATCGTTAGCCTGCAGTTAATAATAAAATTAAAAACCCATAAAATAAACCAAAAAATAAAAATAAAATTTAGACTTTACAGCATATACAATTTATAAAATATCTGAATTAATATTTTATATCTGTCACGTTATTTGAATTACATTTTGATAAGAATTTCCTAGTGATAATATTAAGCGAATACTAGGGTACTTATGATAAACCGATTAGGTTTATTACAAATTCGTTTAAATTATAATAGTATTGTTGTTGTATGTCCGGGAACATTGGAATTTCATGTATTTAATTTATGTATTTTGCAATCAAACAAATATTATAGAAATTATAATGGAAAAAATGAAAATATTATTATTATAATATAATTAATTAATATATTTTATACATATAATATTTATTAAATGGTAAATAAATTGAACTTCTTAAAAATCGATCAAAGTCATAAACATGTAAACGTCATTCACGTTCACGTTCTATTTGCAAAAAACGAGTGAAGTTCACGTATCGTTCACTATATATGAACGTGAACGTGCGTTCATGAACGACGTTCATTCCAAACACTGACAAAATTGGTTCTGAGCGAAGACGGTCATTCAGCCGTCAGCTTATAATATTACCAAGTATTTTAATAATTGGCATTATTGTCTTTTGTCACCTAAAATAATTTTTTAATTGTATGTGTGTACTCTCTGCCTTAATCACAAGCATTGCTTAAAGAAGGTCGATACTCATTTTCAGAAAAATATTTTTTGAATTTACTATGTTTTGTGATTTGAATAATAATGTAGTATAAAAAAACAGTAATTAATTTTACCCTAAAAATATATTTAAATTGTCATTGCGTGAAATAAAGTATAATAGTAAACTCCTAAAAGTTCATATACCCTCAATAATATTTTAAATTACAACAAAATAAATAAAATATTGGTTTTAATATGTAGTTTGGTCCAAATTTTAAATTAAAATGTATATAAAAATTAAGTGTGTTTATATATTTTTTTAAATTGTTTGATTACTGTATGAACTAATTAATATAACACAAGTTTTAGATTTTCAATCCTTATCAATACAAATTCAATATTTTATAATTTTTTTAATTATAAAATAGTTTTAAAATGTTCAAGATTTTGATAAATCTGAACTTATAATACTTATAAAAAGTTGTGCCTATGGATCTTTAATAGCTCTCAATATTTACTTCTCTATTATAACTTTTATGAAGCACGATGTATTAAATATTCGAGCTAGATTCACAATTTAACCCACGAAGTCTAACCCGAGGAGGGCTCAAACAGAAATTTTGAGATTTAAGTTGGAAATTATTGTTTATAAATGGTTGCTATTGGTTATAGAAGAAATAATTGGTAGAAAATATTTTTTATTATTTAATTGAATGCGATTGGTTATCAGGCAGATCAGGTACAAGCATGCATCAAATAATTTCCACACATGCCTACAAGGTGAATTGCCTACTTGATATACTGTTGCACATCTTCCTAAAAAGTCGGATTGCCTACCAGTGTGTCTGAGTTGCACTTAGTCCAACGAATTACACGCAAAAAGAGTTGAAGAATTATTTTTTAAGATTGTTCATTTTTACCAGCAACGAAGTGCGCGGGATCAGCTAGTATAATATAAAACTAAAAATTTCATTTTTTAAATGTCTTTAAATGTTTTAAATGTCAAAAGAGTCAAAATATCGTTTAATGTTATCATGTAGGTATATAAAATGATTATAAAATAATAAAATTAACATTTGTTGAAAGTTTCAAGTACCTACCTACGGTTATTAGTTTTCGAATACGAAAAAATAAGAAAAATCGTATATAAAAATTTGATAATTTATGGGTGACTATCCAATGTTTATCTTCGGGGCTTTTAAAAAATTATATAACTTTCCAGTTAACTCATAAAAAATTACTGTGAATTTACGCCAAATTTCATTTTTAATTTTTATTTACAACAAATTATGAGGAACTTTGTATTACATTTCAAGTTTTTTGAGTTTCGACACACCAAAAAAGTTTTGTATCAACAATAGTTAAAAAAAAAAAAACGAATTAACTAGAAATTTTCCTTGTGTCTATAAATAATTTTGTTTATGTTATAGTACATGGAAATTTCTAATATAAACATTCAGTGAAAATGTCATCTAATAGTGTCATTTTTATTATTGTAACACTAAAAAACAAATCTTTTTTTTCAAAACGAGTTTTGTGTGCAATTCTCCATGTTCCCTTAATTTGTTGTTTGTTTTATCCTGACGGGTTTGAAAACTATTAAGAATATTTTACTTTTAACCCCCCAAAGTCAACAAATACATTTACTTTCTTATCAGAAAACATGCTGATGAAAAAATATTGGGGGATTCTTACTTTTTACTGAGTTGATGATAGACAGAAAAAGCAGTTATCTTTTTAAAATAAATACATACATCGCTCCTCTCGGAATCTAAAATGAATTAATAATAATAGCACTGTTATTTACCCAGACATCATCTATTTGTGACTCATCCTTCTGAGGGTAAATGCTAGAACTCCTGAAGAAATGGGAATTGATATTTCTAGTGAATACGTCATTAGTCATGACACAACTCTGCATTGTTTCCGTGACTTTTAATCTAATAATTTGAATATTATAAAATCATATACTTTTTGACTTTTAAGTGAAATTTATAAATACCTTGCTTAATGTTCCCCTAACGTTTTCTTCATTCCGCCCAGATACCAATATTAACTGTGGCATATTAGTAGAATAATTGTGTTTATCCATAATTTTGTTATTAAAGATCTGATTTTTTTTAAGGATTACATGACTAAATGCATTTAGTAACCCAAATGAACTGATTCCGATTATATCTCCAACAAAAGGAGTTTTTTCAGTAATTACCTAAAAGAAAAACATAATCTATAATTTATGTTCATCCAACGTATATTGATAGTATAACCTACTAATTAAGTAAACAAAAGTTTTCTATACCTACGGATAATTATTATTTATTCATTTATATTCTTTAAATAAAAATTATGGTAAAACAATATGTATTTTACGTACTTGAATTTTTCCATTCTTTAACGCTGTTACATTATTATTTGGTCCCGTGTAATTTATGTTAGGTGGTATGTATCCACTTTCTAGCGTAATGATGGCTTTTACAATTGACATAAAGAGACCAGACACTTCACAGTGACCTACGTTACTTTTCACGGAACCCACTTTTAAAGGTGTCTTTCTATTTTCAGTACAAAACACTTCTTCCATAATATTTAATTCCATAGCATCTTCACTCTGTAAAAATAACGATAAATTAAAGTATTGAGTATTAACATACATTTTTGGTTAATATCACCTTAATTCCCGATCCGTAAGCTTCTATGAAATCTACTGTAGCAGGATCTATGTCAGCTTCTTTATAAGAATCTAATAGCAATGATTTAAAGTAATTTCCATCATGCTCGGTTAGGGTCCTATCATGATTACCATACTGCATTGATTTTACATTCAACAATGTTCCGTATGAACGTTTGGCTTCAGAAGCCTTTTGAAGATACAAAACAATACAAGCTTCTGATCTGTTATACCCGTCAGCTAAATAAAAATCCTCATATTATTTATAATGAAAAATATACCTTATAGTCATAGTTGATAATTAGTCGATACTCGATATTATATTAGTATATATTATTCAAAATAAATGTTTTATCTCATTTTTTTAGTTATTTTTATATAGGAGAGTTTGAATAAAAATATTGTTTATTTTGGTAATGGTTTCGATTACATTAATTATTTATATGATTATACAAAAAATCAACTTGCATTTTTTTACATAGTACAGTTTACTTCCCAATACTTTTTGTAGAATAGTAGAAAAGACTCACTGCAGTCTAGCCTATTAGTATGATCAACACTATATCAGTATTAAATTCTAGTTTGGTGGTCTCACAGATTTGTTGTTAAGCATTTGCAACAACAAACAAATTAATAACTTTAAATCTGAATTAACTTAAATATATCTATAAATGAATCATTGTATCTTAATTTAGATAATATTTAAAATTATAAATAATTTGAATACTACAAGTATGCTTATAAGTTAAAGTATGCCTAAGTGTACGTAATATTAGTTTTATAAGTAAGTTTGAACAAATATTTCATGAAATCTAAATTCTGTATATAACTGTAATTTTCCATCTCCATCGCAAGCATGGCACTTTAATATATGAAATCGTACATTGATTAAATTATTGCATACATTTCAATTTAATAAAAAGAAAAAATACTTAGTTTGATGACACAATCAAATCAAATATTTTTAACTTAAATATCAAACTAGGTTAATGTAAATTTGGAATAACCCTCTGAAATATTAATATTTTTTTAACTTGATTGTCTAAAAATAGATATTTACCGTCAGAACTGAATGGTTTAGTTTGATCACTTTTGGTTAATCTATTCAATCCTTCATATAAGAATTGTATTTCTGGTTGAAGTGCTAGATTAGTAACCCCGACAATCGCAGATGACAATAAACCATTTTCAATCATTTCTTTCGCTTTTTTCAAACCGTTGGAGCCACAAATCCATCCTCCATCCATGCAAATACTGGGTCCTGGATTTTATTGATTATATATTATTTAAATAATTTTAAAATTGCCTTATTTATTATTTGAAAAGTTTTCTACCTGTCAAATTGAGAATAAATGAAAGTCGATTTGCTTGCATTGCTCTACTACTACCTAACATTACAAATCCTACAGATGAATTGGTATCCATGGCTTTCATTTCCGTTTCACTTATTGCAGATCCCATAAATACTCCTGTATTTGTTCCATGCAAGTCTGCTGGACTTAAACCAGCATCGATAATTGCTTCGATTGATCTTTCTAAGCATATTTTTGTCATTGTGTCCATAACTTTAGCAAGTTTTGGATGAACGCTGAAGAATGTGGAATCAAATGTATCGATATTTTTCATTTTTCCAGTTCCGCTTAATGCACCTAGTTTATCTATAAAAAAGTAATTTTTAATTAAATATAAAATTCTTTATTGTTGTAAACATTTATAATTACCTGGTTTCCATCTCCTCGAATCGATTGTTACTCCATTTTTTTTTTGGAATAACAAATCACTCAATTCAGTTATATTATTGCATTCTGGAAACAATCCACCGATACCTGATATCACAACTTCTTCTTTGCGTTCTGCCATTATATTTATTTATTTGTTATTTAATCCTGGTTAACGTTCTAAAACAATTTCATTATTATATTACACAATTGTTGTAATGCATGCCTAATTATTATATGTTATCGAATTGCAAATAAAATGTAAAATAAACTACCAGTGAAAATTTCATGTATATACTTTAATTTGTTTTGAAATTATATCAAAAACCAAAATCGATTTTGCTTAAAAATTCTCGTCTTTCCTTAATTTTTATGTGGTTTTTCCCGGCGCTTTTGAAGACTATTGAGAATTTAGACTATATTCACTTTCCCATCAAACAGGATAATGTCGAAGAAAATCGAAGCAGTTTCACTGCCCCAAACCGTGATGGCAGACACAACATAAAAATTTAAAAATTTAAAAAAAAACACACATCATTGTAAAATCAATACATTCATCATTAAACTCAGAATCTAATAAATAATAATTATAATTTAAAATAATATTAATTTATAAATATATATCGTATACCTATCTAGTATAGGCAATAAGTGATGAATCAGGTAAAATTGATTTATAGATGATGCAGTTCATATATTTTCAAAAATAAAAAAAGAAGATGTCCTTTAATAAACTACTAATATGTTTGTTTATCAATAAATATTGCCATAATAGTTTGTAGACTTTTAATTGATATAGGTGTACAATTGTTTTTATAAATAGGTTAGGTTAGGTCAAAACGATAAGTGATAAATAATGGACAAAATAATAAACTAGACATATAAAATAATAGTACAGATTATCTACTCAGTTTATTCTGTAAATAAATCAATATAGACTATAGTTATGTAGCACAATACGTAATATAGCCTTATAGGTGTCTACGAATAAATAAAAAACATATATTGAGTAATTATTATAATTTTTGTATTAATCGATAATGGTAATATTGTTTAAACGTTCTGTGGTGTTGTGTGATTTAAGTAGATGATCATATAAAACAGAGTAACTTTTGGTTTCTAAAAAATATTTTTACAGCATTGTGAATAGTCCCAATATTTTTTGTACCAGTACATACATAAAATATTGATAAAAATAATTATGAATTTTGAACAGAACCGTACGATATTTAACACTTAATTCTTATACCTACGATAGTATGACCGAAAAAAAGAAAGAACAAATAGAATTGTAATAAATTAAATGTTTTGCTGCTAAGATTCTGCCATCTTAGGAACAAAAAATAATGAACACTATGCAATTAAACTTCAATAATAATATATCAAATTATTACCTGAGTTTAGATTTGTAGTAGACCCGTTATCTGCACCTTTCAACAACTCGACCGAAATCACACTGACTATTGATTTCCAAATTTTTATTGTATTTATTCCAATGAATAATATCCTGATTATTATAATACGAAAACAAAAAATTTGTTGATCATCTCATTAATTAGATTCATTCAAAATTAAGCACAAAGGTTAACATGTAAATTATTTACTATACTTGCTGAATACTTGCTTATTGTTCTAGTGACATACAAAAACACTTAACAAACACGTCATATCTTCAAACAATGCAATATTTTTAAAAATTAAAACCAAATATTAGCATGAATTTGGTAGTTTATTATTTATAAAAATTTAAACCTTTCGGGTATCGGGAAAGTAGTATGAATAGTATGATCAACATTTTTGAGAATCCACTTAATTTTCAAATTAGCACCCGCATCGTCTGTGTGTGACTAAAAATAAGCAAATTAACAGATCACGTTTAATAATTATATAAGTATAGATACCAATTAACAGTTTGTAGAAAATTTATAAACACCTTGAATATAATTAAGTCTAATGGAATTTAAAAACCTATTGGTGGTGCACTGGATAGGTAAAAATTTAAAATTCCCTGTAATTTCCAAAAACACCTGGAAAAACAAAATAAAAAAATTGTTTTCAAGTGGGTGTAGCTCTGTTGTACAGTAGGTTACAAGTGGGTCACTCTTATGGACTATGTTACATTTGAATTCAATGATAAAATATCATTGTATAAGAAAAACGATTCTGAGCGAAGACGGTCAATCAGTCTATGATATTAAAAAGTATAATATTTTATGATATTATTGTGAATAAAGTAATTTATATATAACCTATTTACGTGGAACCTTGTTTAAATGTTCAATCCTTAGCTATAAAAGTTGAACATTTTATAAATTTTCAAATATAAAATAATTTTCAAATTTCAAATTTCAAATTCAAATGCTTGTAAAATAAAATTGTGCCCAAGTAGTTTTAATATTTTTCAACTACTATAGAAATAATATATTAGGAGCCTTATATTGAATTGTTCACTCTTTGACCTAACAAATAATATTTTATGGACAACTATCGAAAAAAAAAATTGAAAATTGAAAATGTCCAACATCTAAAAAAGTCAAAATGTTTTGAAAATGTTATCAAGTATAAGAATTTATAAAATAAACATATCATATAAATTTCCAGTGTCTACGTTTTTGAATTACAACAAAATAAGAAAATATCGCTACTTGAGAAATCCAGTGAATATCCATTGTGGCAAAGTAATGAACTTCAAACTCTCATAAAAATGAAATTTATCTTTTAGGTAGCCATTTTTTTAAAGGTAGACAAACGTATAAGGAATCTTATATTACATTTTCAAATCTTAGAATTAAAAAGATAATTTTTTATGAACTTCTAAATCAAAATAATTTTCACTTTTTGTGATTTTTACGTAAAAACTAATAAATAAAGAAAGCTAAATTAACATTATAAATTACAATTAGGTACCAATTTTAAATTCCTATAATATTATTGAATATCCAGATATCACATTAAAAAAAATATTTATGAATCTGTTAAAAAAGGACTATCTTGTTTAAAGTGTCTCTTATAAACTTAGGTTTTTCTGGGTTACGACACTTGGCCTTTTGACCATCGTTTTATTCACAATAGGTTTTCAATATTTACTTTTACAATGTGCAATTAGCAAGTAAGAACTTGTTATAAGTGTTAGTTTCTATACATAGTGATAACTTTATTTTATTTTAAAACACTTCTAAGTTTGAATAACTTTACTTTTTTTTTTTAACCATTGAATACAAAAAAAATGATTTCATGGAAACGGATACATTGTGTCAATACTTTGTTTCTAAAATTATTTTTTACATTTTTGACCTAGAACAAAAATAACGTTATCAAATGATAAATGCTGAAAATGTAAGTGTAAATGTCAATATAAATATATTTCGTACAATTGCAAGTCTTTACAATTATTGATTTTCGAAGTAAAACAAAAAAAACTAAATCTTGTTTGCCGAAAACTGATGTTTTGTAACCATCAACGCTTTTTCTTGATTCTACAAGCTTGGTAGATGGCATAAGGTATTTATTGTTTGAATTAATTGAATATGTATTTTTTACCTCGATTAGAATTCCAATTAGACAAAAAGGAAGAAAATACTTTAAGTTTATACATATTCTAGCGTTCATTATTAAAATTTACATTACATTTTTTAACACTATATCGATGCCTCTTAAATTATGTATATTTCTTACGTTCCTTATATTATGAAAATAAAGTAACATTGATTAAACAATTTCAGTCATGTCCATCGTTGTTTTTATATTATTTTTTGCATTTAAAAGAGGAGTGCATAGCATTTGTCATAAATATTTTGATAAAATGATTTCGTTATATGTTTTGAAAAAATTGTATTGAATTTAAAAACAATAATATATAAAATCCAAGAGTTGTAGAGGAAAAATTAGGAAATTTATACATTTTCTTAAAATGAAAACGTAAATTATTTGATATAATATGATTATACAATTGTATATCTATGATATGAAACCAGAATGTTTGGAAATAGCACGGCTATAGATAGTATGGTTGCCCATCGACCCATGATTCCCATACTTGAAAAGTGTCTACCGAAATTAATCTCTATAATCAGTATTGAAGTTCAATTAAACAGCTGGAGACTTAAGCATTAGACCTTATATGTCATAGTGGCTATCACGGAACTACAATTTACATTTTGAAAGATAATTGCATTTATAGTCATTACAACAAATAAGCGCTAGTGCGTAATCTCCAGCTGTTTAATACTGATAATGGAGATTCATTTCAGTAGAAACTTTTCTAGATTCGTTAGGCAACCATACTATCTTTAATCGTGGGAAATAGTCACAATATTAAAATGGAACAGAATACTACTACCAATCGGGCAAGAACCTCATATTCACTGCTTACAAAGTACAAATTGATACAACTGATAAATATATAGAACTTATATGAATATAGAAATAATGATTATTTAAAAAGTAATTTATTTAAAAACTAGTAGGTATTTATACTATTTAAATACTTTTACTCAAATGCTTTAATATACTACATTATAATGTAGATCTCAATTCGATGTAATCAATTTTTTTTTTTTTTTTGGTTTAAAGCTTCGATGACAGGTCATTAGCCTGAAGATTGGTAGGGTTGATACAGTAGGGTTATGATGGTTGGTACGGTCGATTAGGAACACGTGTATGTGTGGCAAGGTTTTTGCGTACTAGGAACCCGGGTGGTCACCCATCCGAGAACTAGTGACAGCAGCCGTTGCTTAGTCTCAATCACGTCACGTGATTGATTTCAGCCACTACGCAGCGCCGAGCCACTTAACATAATTTGTCTAGCAGTATTAGTGACATACTGACATATAAAAGCAATTACCTATTCAAAAAACATTTACATAGTAACATGTTCTAATTTTACTTTTATTTTCACTTACTAATTACAGTCAAAGTATTGTCCTTGCTCTTATTACATACTCTTATCAAACATTAGTATTTGGTATACATTTTCATTAATATCATAATATTTTATATTCGTCTTGTACTGTTAATAGTTAATACCTATAATAACCCAGCGAAGTGTCACTAAGTTTTGTTAAAAGTATAAAGTAGGTATTATGATGTTTAAAATAATGATTTGTTATGACATTTTTCGAGGTCTAATTAATATTTTTTGCA